GGATGGCGCGGAAATGGAATTGCACGCGAGCTGGAATCTGTGCCATGATTACACAAGTAGCATATTCAGATTGCGCTTTCACACGAGGCTCGATCGGTGCAAATGCTCAGTCGCTCGTAGTACCGTGCGCGGCATGTTGCGCGGGGGGGGGACTTGGAGAGGACCAGACGATACCCAATAATTTTGTCAGCTTGCTGGGTTGTGGTCGTGGATGACGACTATGTGCAGTGTACCCAGGTTCCAAGTAACTGTCGTTGGGCAGATGCTTGAAGAGAGAAGATCAATACGGTACGCCTTCATCCTGCTGTGGAACACGCACTTGTCCGGTTGCGGCGGCGACAGCGTCCAAAACCACGACGACGCAGGTGTTGATACCCTGTGCGTCGCGATAAGTGATACGAGCAACGGCAAGGATGCTGTCGTCCCCATCTCGCGGCCCGCACGTGGCGCTTCGAGCACGCCGAAGGCCTACCCATTCTCTCCACCTGGTTCTTCTTCTACTCGCGCTTGGCGCCGCCCTGCTGCCGCCGACTCGTGCTGAGCAGCCAGTCCGCCGCTCGATGCACGAGATTACGGACAAGGAGCGGCTGGCAGCTCAGGAGCGCTTTCTCTTTGGCGACACGCATTTCCATGCGATCCACCAAAAGCAGCAGCCCCATAACACGGATCAGCAACACGTTCCAGACCAGATTGCCGATACAGCCAAAGTTGCAGCATCCAAAAACAAGGGTAGTACCAAAGCAGCAACTCCTCGCAGAGCAGCGCAAGAGCGACCCTCGAATAAAGGGCGCTCGCCGAAGCAACAGAGCCGGCGAGAGACTTATAATGACAAAGGCGATGAATACAACAACGAGGACTATTCCGCCGACCACGACGATAACTTGCCACGACGACAGTCACGCTCACGCACCCGAACTCGCTCAGACTCAGACTCGGAGCGCTCAGCACTAATCAACCTGTTCAGCGGCACGGCATGGCTCGTGATTCTGCTTGGAAGCTATGCACTCGTCAGCCTCCGCAGCACCTCTTCGGTGCTCCTATCCATCCTTTTCCCCGTGTTCAGCCTAGTCGGGCGTGTGACGACTTCGGCGGCGTCGTCAGTATACGCGTTCACCAAGTCGTGCGTCCTGCACAGTCTCAAGCCGGTCCGCCTGCTGCTGCTCGCGCCTGTCGCGTATCTACTGCTCGGTCTCTATTACATCATGCTGGAGCTCCCGCTCGCTGCGTTCATCGTGGTAGGAAAGGAGCTCTACCCACTCTACCTCTTCCTGGGAGCCGCAGTGACGATCGGGATCACGCTCGGCACAGGCGCGGGTGTCGTGCTCCTGCTCGGCAGCTTTGTTTTCAATGATAGCAGCGCGGTGGAAAAACAGACTTTGAGCAGCCTCGGCAGAGGGGATGATGACGACGAGCGAGGCGCGAAAGGGATGAAAATTAACGAAAGGGGCACGCGCGTGGAGCCCAGTGACGTCCCCGCGCGTGGTGAGAAAGGCCGTGCGGTCGGTGCGAACAGTGGCAATGGCAGTCAGCAGCAGAAGCAGAAGCATCGGCGACGCTCAAGTGGCCGCGGCAAGAGCGTCATCTCTCAAGCCATACGCGAGCTAGCCTCGGTGCGGAGGCGATCCCGCGCCGAAAATGGAGGGTTTTTGGACGACGACGACGTGTTCGCACGCGACGTGGAAGACGATCAGGAGGCGGCTTTCGACGTGAAGCTTAGCGCAAGGAGCGGAATGTGGAGCGAGGACAGCGAATTCAGCAGTGTCGATGATGTCGATGATAGGGCTAAGGACGGCAAGGCACACAATAGCTCGGCGCGAGCTGCACCCGGCCGACCATACAAGCAACAGCAACAGCAGCCGCCAAGAGCAACATCGTTCTTTCCAAACAATGTGAGCGCTCGTCCATATCAACAGCAGCCGAGCGGACCGGGTTATAGCGGCAACGTGAGCACAGCGACATCGGCGTCGACGTCTCCGCCAGAGAAGAGCCCGCATGCGATGCAAGCGGGCGCCTGGCCCGCTGCTTCGCCAATCCAAGAACGGCTTGGCGGTGGTGCTGGGAGTGGTGGAAGGCTCCCGACCGGCGCTACCGGCCGCGGTGGCTGGATACATGAGCATCCATAAGCGGTGTGTATCTGTTTTATTTTCAGGTACACACGTGTTTGGGGTGGGTCTTTCCTCCTTTTCATCAACCTGTCTTATTTCTTCTTCGATTCCCACTGTGAGGCATGTCGCTTGCTGTATGATCTCCTGCTTGGTGGCAAGCGTACCCTCATACTGGCCACTCGTGTGCGTCTCGAGTCTCGCTTGAATTCTTCGTTTGCTCGGGAGGATACAAAAATCTCGTCGCTGTCGGAAGACAACGCTTGAAGGGAGGAAATGCGGTCTGCGGGGTTTCCCGGCCTTGCAATCTCTCGAGACTCGAAGGTGACATGCGTGCAGTATGCACCCCAGTCGCAAGCGAGCTGCCCCAAGGCACGCATTTGGCAATTCCATTTGTGCCTCATGAGACACTTGGCGCTCTGGACTTCTGCCGATTCTCGCAAAATGGTCTTGCGCGAATTGCCATGTCTCCCATCCTACATGTCCGAGGCCGCAGGGTGTTGGTGATCAACTCCATAAAATCGGCCGTGTACATACCCCGCACCCGATCGCAGCTCAAGGTCACCCTGTGGTATCGACGCGATGAAACAAAGAACCAACCAGGCGAAAGGGGGGGAGCCTGCCAAACTTTCACCACTAATGGGAAGAAGAGTCGGCCAGCACATCAGCTGAAGCAAGATCAGAGATGTTCTTACGTACTACCATCGTCTGTTCGTTTTGCCACTATTATGCCGCGGCAAGTACATAGCGCATCGGAGCAAACGACGGAAATGCAGCCCTAATATGCACCCATAGCGGATCCCATCAGGGATTTCCACGGGCCGGCACACCTCGGCCGCGGCACTGCCGTGGCTCCTCCTTAACCGCCCGATGGACCAGTCGTCAAACAGGCCCAGTGCAGCCGCAGCCGGAGCGGCAGCCTGGCTCCTTTTGAGGGCAGTAGCCCACCCTCTGGTTCGGATTTCGCTTATCAAACTTTGGACGGTTGGTTTCATACATTCTTCTGCACAGACGGCAGGCGAGCGCTACGTCGCGTGCGCAGTGGGCTTTGCAGATCTCCCTTAGATTTCCGTGTTGATTTAGATAGACTGCTCTCTTGCCATGCCGCCTCATGAAAGCGCGTCGTTCCTCTCGCGAGCTGCATCCCATCCTTCTTCAAAACTGTTCAGGCAGTTTCTCCCTTTGTATTTTTTTTTACAAATTGTAAAGCTCCTTTTGTCTTTTGAGCGCGGAAGCGGAAAGGGGGAAAAAGCCGAGAATGCGCATGATCGTCGTCATGAGTCACTTTGCCACTCGTCACCATCGTTTACTGGGGATCCTCAGAAGCGAGAGGTAACATGGAGGAACCGAGAAGACAACAAGGCTAGGACCGACGAACGAACGAACGGAAATCACCGGCTGTAGTCGGACCACAATCAATGAAGGATACACTTGCGCTGTGGAGGCAACGCTGTCATTGCGGGAGGGACTTGGCGGCCAAGCCGAGTCTCGTCCGTTATGAGGTGCATCGTCATCTGTGGTGTAATTCTCATCGCAGAACCGTTGGCGAGGAACAAGGCCACCTCACCAACTTTTTTTTTGAGATAGAACCCCCATCCATGTACGTGAACCTACACGGGCCCTGTGCCCGATGCCGACACATTTCCTGCGTATACATAACGTACCCGTGACCCGAGAAGGTTGACCAGGCTCTCTCTCCACCTCCAAACTCCTGTAGTAGGAGTTTTGTCACTTTGACTGTCGCTCTTCTTCTTCTTCTTCTTCTTCCTGACTCCCTCTCCGCGTAACCCACACCGGTGACGACCACCTGGCTCACTGTCTGCCAACTTTAGAAGCGCTATCAGCTAGCTATAGGGCATCCGACATAGACCCATCAACGTACAGACCCCACTCCTCTTCCCATCTCGATACATGGTCAAGGACGACCAGACGCGGGCCCCCAGAAAGTCATAGGAGACAACACGGTTGTGTTGTCCGATAGACCTGATAGAACAGACAGAGACGGTTACACGGATTCGCAAGAAAGGCAAGCTCATCATGTCGTCCGACTCGATTCACCGACGCTCGGTCGAGCCAGCTGCTGCCGCGACGCCAGCGGCAGACTCGTCGTCCATTGCTTCGTCCGGAGAGACAGCAGGCGTACTCGGCGGCGCCAGCACCGACGTGGGAAAGAAAAAGGATGCCGTCGGTAGCGCAAGCCTCGTCGACGGCGCTGAGAAAGGCCCGGTCGTCGTGCAGGCGGATGACTACGATGCATCCCAGGGGATCAGCGAAAAGACCAAGGCCAAGTTCAAGCAGCTCGGTTGGGTGCGTCTGACAGTATGCTTGATCGTTGAGGCCATCGTGAGTGCGCAGAGCCAAGGCAGGCTGAATCCTGAGGAAGTGCAACGTGTTGAATGCAAGGATTTTCCTGATCGCCCACAATGTAGGCCTTAGGTGCACTGTCCTTACCTGGGTGAGTTTCTTTTCTCCTCGCTTCTGTACCATACGGAATACCGACTCACATCAGGCTTGCTCGTGTCACTCCCGCTTGCAGAGTATTCGCAACACTCGGCCTGGTCCCTGGTGCACTGACCTGCATCGGTATTGGCCTCATCGCGATCTACACGTCGTACCTGGTCGGCCGGGCGTGCAACCGCTCACCGATACCTATTGAGCACTTCCACGACCTCGGCGAGCTGATGTTTGGCCGGGTCGGACGGGAGGTTATCGGAGGGTGTTTCTTCGTGTACCTCGGACTCGTCACTGGCTCGCATGCGCTCACTGGCGCCATCGCGTTCAACAACCTCTCTAACAGTGCCGTCTGCTCCATCGTATTCACCGTCGTGTCGTCCATCATTCTGGTGCGTCTTCCATTTCGAGCAAAGCGAGACGATTGAGACTGACGCGGACCCGCTGCACACGGCCAGTTCCTCGTCGCACTACCGCCTTCGTTCGCGGATATTGCGATCCTGGGGTACATCGACTTTGTGTCGATCTGCGCTGCGATCCTCTTGACGATAGTCGCAACGGGGATTCAGGCGTCGAATGCGCCGGGCGGACTGAGCGCTGTCAACTGGCACGCATTCCCGGAGGAGAGGCCGACGTTCGCAAAGGCCTTCGTCGCAATCACGAACGTCGTGTTCGCCTACTCGTTTGCCATCTGCCAGCCTTCATTCCAGGCGGAGCTCAAGAAGCCTAACGACTACATCAAGTCCGTCTGGGCGCTCGGTATCACGGAGATCGTACTCTACACGCTCACCGGGGCCATCATCTATGTCTTTGTTGGCCAGGGTGTCCAGTCACCCGCGCTCCTCTCAGCTGGCCCTACAGTTAGCAAGATCGCGTTCGGCAGTGAGTGGCAAGAAGCCCCTTGCGCGGGAGCAGCTGGGTCTGCCGTACTGAGTCGTCCTCTTCTCCTCCCGTCCGCCGTGATCGCACACAGTTGCCCTCCCAGTCAGTGAGTACATTCCGCTAGTGGCCATCATCAAAAGTACGCGATTTCTGACCGCGTTCCACCTCTTTCCGCTTGGAAAGTTTTCATCTCTGGCTCGATTAACACGACGAGTGCCGCCCGGTACATGCATGTTCGAATCTTTGGCAAGACGCGCCACCGTTGGATCTCAACACCGCTCGGCATCGGCGCGTGGCTCGGCCTGAATGCTGTGATCGTCATCTTCGGTATGTTGTGCCCTCGCCTTGCTTGGCGATAGGGCTCTCGAAATATGAGTGCACGGCTAAAACGCATCTTCCCTTTCCCTCGTCACATAGGATGGGTCGTCGCCAGTCTTGTGCCGTTCTTCGAAAACGTGAGCCCCCCCCCCCGCGGCCTGTTGTGTATTACCCTTCCTGACTTCTCTTACATTCTACTACTCGGGCGTCGTCCTCTCCCCCCGTGCAGTTCCTTGGGTGAGCACCTAAACTCTTCCTTGCTTCATTCTCCCGCCACCGCTGACTCTTACTGTCCCTTTTATTCTAGACTAATGGCTTCGCTGGCCGTATCCGGCTTTACCTTCTACTTGCCTGCTCTCATGGTATGCCAGGCCCCTCGAAATGCTTGTCCTTCTCGGCTGCTGACAAGCCCGTTCATGTCCTTCGCTTACTCGCTGTACAACAGTGGTTCCTTTGCCCGGGTATGAAAGAAGGCACCTGGCGCGACAGCTGGAAGAACATTATGCTGGCCGCTGTGAATGCGGTCATCTTCCTTATGGTGAGCACGAACTGAGACATGACCATTCACTTCCAAAGGAGAACGCATATTCAACCGCTTCCGCTTATTTTTCTGCAGGGCATCTTCATTCTGGTCTGCGGTGTTTATTCAAGTGTGACCGAGATCAAGGAACAGTACGCGACCGGCACGATCCACCGGCCGTTCAGCTGCAACCTCCATTAAACAGCTGAGCTGTGCGGCGCCTTGATCCTTTTGTCGAACCCGATGCAACCATCTTGTCAACTGTATTCATCAGATCAGACCTTGCACACTCTCGCACCTCTTTGCTCGCTTCATCCACGCGCATCCTGTTCTTAGTCAGCCCCTTCCAAATTGTGTACCGCGGCTCGCGCTCGCCTTCACGCGCTCTCACTCATTCAAGTGTATGGTAAAGTAAAACCAAAGTACGAATAAATGGCTGTGATTCAGAGATGCGTTACGTATGTGCTCCCAAAGAGTTAGAGCTTGTCCTGGTGATGTGCAGACAAGGATTAAGGGGAAGAGTAACAATGCTCTTTCTCATGCGAAACCAGTCAGGTCCGTTGTCACGCGAAGATGGACGATTCTGCGAGACCCACGCAGGTTGTGCGGCGTGGACCCGCTTGAGATGGACGCCCCGAGTGTTGTCCGCTGCCTACGTGCTGACACAGCAAAAGACTGTTGAACTCCATGCGCCAACGTCGACAAGGCAAATCTCGGCGTGCCTTCAGTGCAGCCCCTTTCCCTATGGAAAAGCGAGGCTCGTCGCCGTCTCGGCCAGGGGAGACTCGGGGCGGGGCGGGTGGGACTGATTTCAACTGGGCAACCCTTTACAAGCTTGCCAGAAGGCATTCGCGTAAAACAGGGGTACCAGATGTTGAGACTGCAGCACCAAAAGCAGAACAACCTGAAAAGCGCGACGCACTGATAGGGGAAAACGTATCATTAGGTGGGTAGAATGAGGGTGAACATGCCGCGGCTGTTTTTTCTCAAAAATCCGAACGGACATGACGAGCATGTCAATTTTTGTCTGTTTTAGTCGGCGTTTGCATTCTCCTCCTCAGTCCGCCTCCGTCTAGACCGTGACTGGGCATGCTTTACCCGCTTCCTCCTCTTGGTCGCGCCTGATTCTTCGGTACAGTCGGTCGCTTCTTGGTGAATAGTACGTGTGAGCAACGCCGTTTATCCTCCACAAAGCTCAGAGCCGTGTAGCGGAGAGCCAGATCGAAACGAAAAGGACAAGGCAAAAGAAAAGGAAGTGAAAGGGCTCGCATCAGCACCAGCATCAGCACCGACGATTGCAACGGGGATATCCACTAAGCATGGGCCTGATCTCCGCTTCGCGCTCGCGCTCACCAGATGACCAGTGTCCGCAAGATGCTTGCCGGCAGTCTTCGAACCGCTGCTCTGCGGATGAGCGGACACTGGACCTCGACGACCCTGTCGCGTCAGCGCCAGAAGACTCGGAGAAGAAGCAGTTGCAGGCGCATAAGGCAGGCCCCGTGCACGGAAGCTGCAACGAAAAGGGCGCTGGAACAGCAGTAGAAGCCCTGGAGCAAGAAAAATATGAACGAATGCGAGCGAAAAGCGAACACCGGTTCAAGCGACTGAGCTGGCAGAGATTGGCCATTTGCTTGATTGTAGAGGCGGTGGTAAGTCGCCTGTTTCTCACTCCTTCATGGCTTGGCATTTGACCAGAGCATACTCTCCCTTGGCTGCAAACATAGGCGCTCGGGACTCTTTCATTACCATCGTGCGTTTGTGTTGGAGGCCAACCGCAGTATTCCACCTTCGATCCATGCATTGACATTCTCTTTTCTGAGCACAGCGCGTTTGCGACGGTAGGATTAGTGCCAGGCGTACTTCTCACCATTGGTATAGGCCTCATCGTGTGCGTAGAGCGAATGTTGTAGCACGTATCGCAGCGGCTGACGACACCTCCGCGGCTTGTTTCTTTGTGACGGCAGCATCTACACGGCGCACGTCGTCGGCGCGGCATGCAACAACTCTCCGACAGAAGTGCTGTCCTACGTCGACCTCGGCGAGCGCATGTTTGGTCGCTGGGGGCGCGAGGTCTTCACAGTCATGTTCATGTTGATCCAGCTACTCGCCTCGGCAAGCCACACGCTCACGGGCGCCATCGCATTCACGTCCATCACCAATGGCGCGACGTGCAGCATCGTCTGGAGCGTTGTTAGCGCCATTCTGCTCGTGAGTGATGCGCTCGTTCCAGTGCGCGGTCGCGCTCTCCTCAAGCATCTGCCTCCTGTGCTGACACACTTGAACGCGTGTCATACAGTTTGTGCTCGCGCTCCCGCCGTCATTTACAGAGTTTGCCATCCTAGGCGTGATTGACTTTATTTCACTCATCGCAGCCGTGGTAATCACCATGATCGCGACGGGAATACAAGCGACTAACCTGCCAGGTGGAAGAAGCACGGTGGACTGGCACGCCTTTCCGCAGGAGAAGCCATCGTTCGTGCAAGCCTTTGTTGCTGTCAGCAATATTGTCTTTGTGGGTATTTGCTTATCTTTTGGGGCATTACTATTGTACACCGCTGAACTGATACGTCACACATTTCCCGCATACTTGCTTTGCTTTTCCTGACACTGCCAGGCTGTGAGTTCAACTTCGCGGGGCGGCTTTTACAACCAAGCGCACTGAGCTGACGTTCTCTCATTCGTCACCCAGTATTCCTTCATCATGGGACAACCAACTGTGCAAGCAGAGCTGCGCCAACCGAATGACTATATGAAAGCCGTCTGGGCCATCGGCCTGACGGAGGTCACGATCTACACGCTGACCGGCTCGATCATCTATGTTTTTGTCGGCTCGGGCGTCCAGTCCCCGGCGCTGCTCTCCGCCGGGCCACTCGTCTCACGCATCGTTTTTGGCATTGCGCTGCCGCTCATCTTCATCAGCGGCAGCATTCTGGTCAACCAGCCCGCACGTTACATCCATCAGCGCATACTCGGCGAAACGCGCCATCGTTGGATCTCCACCAAGACGGGCATTCTCGTGTGGCTGCTCATTAACGCAATCTTTGTAGCCGTCGGTGCGTTCTGCCGCGCATCTCACATTAGTATACTGCGCATGGGCATCCAATTGCTGACTGTCTGTTGAACGTGCCTTGTGCTCCCACTAGCATTCCTCGTTGCACAAGCCATCCCGACGTTCTCGTCATTACTGTCGTTGACCAGCGCGCTGTTCATCTCGAGCTTCAACTTCATCTTCCCAGCGTTGATCTGGTGGCTGCTTCTGCGCAAGGGCAAATGGAACGACAACTGGCACAACATCGTGTCGACCATCATCAACCTCTTTGTCTTCCTCCTCGTGAGTCCCCCCCCTTGGAGTCGCTGTGTGATCCATGCGCGCATTAGAGGGCCACAGCCGAGTCAACAACTGACGCAACGGTTGGCCGCATATGCGCATACCACCCCCACTGGCTTCCTCTTTCCGTAGGGCGCACTGGTACTAGTTGCGGGAACATACGCCTCAGTCGTGTCTATTATAGGCGAGTCCAAGAACGGTAGGCGCCCGTTCAGTTGCGCTCCACGCAACTGAGAGGTGCCAATCTATGTTGTGCACTCTCAAGTATCATAATAATTATGTAGTATGTTTAAGTCAATTCACCATGTGTGAGACAAACGAAGCAGGCGATCTATGATGTTATGCCCATGGCCGGTCGTCCATAATATTCCAGGATGGGCCTGACAATGTTAGCTGAGCTAGTGCGCCGATGCAATGCGATCAGCGCTGTATGAGGGGGCGGGCTGTGACACCTGCCTGTCGTGGACCAAGAAGCTGAGCGGACCTCGATGCAAGCGAGCTGAGTTGGCACAACTTCTGTTGAAGACTATGATACATGACCAGTTGCGTTAAGATTCGATGTTCTTAGCGGTATGGTGTTGAACGTACTACAATGATTAACGGGGACAATGCTGCATTAGGCAGAGAATTCTTGACGCGCCTGCTTGGCAGCGGCAACAAGGTTTTCGAGTTGGGCGGTGGTCTCGTTCCACGTGCGCGTCTTAAGACCGCAGTCTATGTGTGAAGAAGGTAGAAGCGCAGTTAGTAAATCACGTCTTAGTGGAATGGAGCGAAGCGGTGAACATACCAGGGTTGACCCAGATCTGGTGGGGGCCAAGGTACTTGGTCATCTCACGGACGCGAGCGACCATCTCCTCTGCGGTCGGGACACGCGGAGAGTGGATGTCAAAGACACCGGGGCCAATGTCTGCAGGGTACTTCTTATTGGTGAAGGCCTTGAGCAGCTTCGCGTCCGACTTGCTGTTCTCGATACTGTGGGTGAAAATGGAGCGCCCGTCATCAGTAAAAGACTCCAACTGGGCACCATAGATTTACTCACGAGACGAAGTCAGCGTCAAGGTCGATGATGGACTGCATGGTGGCCTCCTCCTGGAAGTCCGAGTAGCAGAAGTGCGACGCAATGTTGACGTTGTCGTCGACAGCGGAAGTCGCGAGCTTGAATGAGTCAACAGCCCAGCGGAAGTAGGCAGACCACTCCTTCTGGCGGAGCGGGAGACCCTCGCGGATTGCTGGCTCGTCGACCTGGATAGCACGGATGCCGGCCTTCTCAAGGTCGATGACCTCGTCGCGCAGGGCCAGGGCGATTTGCTTGCACTGGAGCTCGCGCGGGACATCCACGCGTGGGAACGACCAGTTGAGGATCGTGACTGGGCCAGTAAGCATGCCCTTCATCGTCTTCTTCGTGAGACTCTGTGCGAACGCCGACCAGCGGACAGTCATCGGCTCCGGGCGGAAGACATCGGCAACAATGATGGGGGGGCGGACATATCGCGAGCCGAAGGATTGCACCCAGGCAGAGTCAGGGTGCTCCATGCCCGACAGACGCTCACCTACAATGCATATGCAGTCGGTAAGCATGAGTTCTGCGTAATAATACCGCGGAGCAGAGGCTCTCACTCACCGAAGTACTGGCTCATGTCGTTACGCTCAGGCTCGCCGTGAACAAGCACATCGAGGCCAAGCGCCTCCTGGCGCTTGACGACATCGCGGATCTCGTCCTCAATGAACTTCTCGTAGGTCGCCTGGTCAATCTCGCCCTTGTTGAACTTGGCACGCTGGACACGGATCTCCTTGGTCTGCGGGAAAGAGCCGATGGTGGTAGTTGGGAATGGAGGAAGGTCAAGCACCTTCTGCTGAACCTCCTTGCGTACGTTGAAGGGTGACTTGCGGTTGAGGTCCTCGGGCTTGACAGCGGCTAGGCGCTGGCGGACGGCAGGGTCCGAGTTCTTCTCAAAGTCGCGGCGAGCCTTGATGCTGGCGGCGTTCTTGGCGAGTGCGTCGGCAACCGAGGCCTCGTTGGTGAGAGCCTTGGCGAGAACGGCGACCTCCGCGCACTTCTCGGTGGCGAAAGAAAACCAGTCAAGAACCTCGGGCTTGAGCTTCTTCTCGGCGGTGATGGTGATGGGACAGTGCTGTAGCGAGCTGCTGGTAGCGATGACGATGCGCTCAGCACCGAGCTTGGCGATGGCGCTCTGTGCAGTCTTGATGGCAGCAGCCAAGTCGGTCTTCCAGATGTTGCGGCCAGAGACGAGACCCAAGGAGAGACCGATCTTGGTGCCGGCGACAGCGCTGATAATCTCGTTCAGCTGCTCTGGGTTGCGGTCGAGGTCGATGTGGAGGCCGGCAATGGGGAGGTCCTTGACAAAGTTGATGTTAGCGTCGAGGCGGCCAAAGTAGGTGGCGAGCATCAGCTTGACACTGGGGGCAGCCTTGGCGAACTCGGTGTAGGTCTGCTTGAACTGTTCGGCGTAGTTGGCGCCCGCGTCCATCACGAGAATGGGCTCGTCAATCTGGATCCACTCGGCACCGGCTTGGCTGAGCTTGTTGAGAAGCTCAACGTAGACGGGGATGAGCTTGGAGAGGAGCGAGAACTGATCGAAGCCGGCGCTTGCGCCCTTGCCGGCCTTGCCGAGCCAGAGGTAAGTGATGGGGCCGAGGAGGACAGGGCGGGCGTTGTAGCCGGCAGCCTTGGCCTCCTCAAAGTCATCAATGGGCTTGGTGTTGTTGAGCTTGAACTGGGTGTTCTCGCTGAACTCGGGGACGAGGTAGTGGTAATTGCTGTCGAACCACTTCTTCATCTCCGTCGCCGGCAAGTCGACGCCATTCTTCTGGTGACCGCGAGCGGCGGCAAAGTAGGCGTCGAGCGCGGAGAGACCGGAGTTGGCGTGTGCTTCGGGCAACGCGTTGAACGTGGCTGAGAAGTCGAGGACATGGTCGTAGAGGGAGAACGTGCCGGTGGGTACGAAATCGACACCCTGTGACTTGATAGTCTCGTAGGTGAGCAGACGCTGCTCCTTGGCGATCTTGAGTAGCTCGTCGACGCTAATCTTGTCCGCCCAGTAGGCCTCGAGAGCCTTCTTGACCTCACGCTGGGGTCCGATGCGGGGGAAACCCAGCACGCTGCTCTGAACGCTGTGTAAGTACAACATGAAGTGTGGTGTCAGCCCTACTGCAAGAAGGTATTGCAAGCTGATCTGCATGTTGACAGTCGTTCTGAAGATGCCCCGAACGCCCGCTGGGAATGGGTCGAACGACAGACGGGCGAGGCACGGAGATATTGGGGGGGGCTGGGCGCCGGACTGTGCACTCACCTCATGATGTGGATGTGTCTCAACGGACTCGGGAACAGCGAGCAGAACGTTGAACGCGAGACTCTTCTGATAGCAGCGATGGTCTGCGGTCTGAAGAGGTGGACGGGGGATGGGGGAAATGGAAGCAGATGGGGTAAGAAAGGAAGAGAAGGTAAAGGAAAGGAAAGGGAAGGAGGGAAGGAAGGAAGGAAGAAAGGAGAGGTGATGGAGATGGAGATGGCGACATGGGATGGGGGATTGGAAATGTGGTGCGATGGGCGAGAGCGTTGCAGTGGGAGGGCACGCAGGAAGAAACGTGACAGCAGAGCGAAGAATTCAAGCGAGTCCAAATGGCTGAGCTATTTCCTCACCCATCCTATGACAGGCGCAGTGCCCCGGCGAGCGACAAGATTCACAGAGCTAGCGCCGGTGCTAGTCTTGTACTATTTTGCGCACGGCTCAGCTTGTTCAGTGTCCACTACTCCACTCTTGAGCACCGGAGCATTGAGATAAACTCTGTGTCGTGTGCACCGAGTCTCGGCTCGGTGCAAGTGGCCAGTGCGCCGCCTGCTAGATGCGAGACTCGGACATGACTGCGCACGTTTCTTCGCATAGGATTCCGCAGTTCCATTTCTTCCGGTCCAGGCCGGGCTCCTGCTCTCCACTCTCGCCCGCCCGCAGAAGTTTTGCCGCGAGCCTGCGACGCCGCGTGTGGGTGATTGATGAGAGTTCTTCTGACGTTTTTGTTGGGTTCCGTATTCCTGCAAGGGAAGGGTTGAACACCCCTCTATCGGCTCCGCCCTCCTACCGCTGTTTTTGTATGTGATCGATGTGATCCCGTCTCGCTCCCCCAGCCATATAGCCCCTTGAGAAGGTGGCCCTCCTGCTCCTGCGCTGGCTGGTTGCAAAGTCACCGGCAGACAGCTCCCAGAAAGTAAAGGGTAGGAAAAGTTTCGACGCGCGCGCATGATGCAGCTGTCACATCCGTCGTGGGAGAGGGCAAGGCGCTCGTCGGCAAGCCTGACTCCACGTCTCGGCGCAAATGATGTTAGCGAAGCAGCGCCTGCTGAAGGATTCACGCGCGACCCCCCTTTGGCCCCCGCCTTGAAGGTTCCACCAGCTCCATCCAGAGGTACCTGGTGCTTGGTGCGGAAGAGTGGCGGGTGTGGACATCGGAGTGGAGCGCAGCGAAGTTGTCGGCTTGCGATACCCAGCGTCTATTCGCCAAATCTAGCATCTTCCTTCACTCTCCACCTCACAACGTCTCCGAGTGCTAGCCTGCGTGATAGTGCAGTGGAAGCCCGATGGGGTTGAAAGTATCCTCTGCGAAGGTGCTCCCGAGGCGACAGAAGCTAGACCCCGGGTGCTCATCACCTTTTGCAGGGCTGCATGTGTGGGGCCCTGTAAAGCCTGAAGCGCTGGAAGGCGGAGACTCTACACTCCAAACCTACGTCGCCTCGGGCGCTTGCATGGGCCCACATTGGCACTGATTCGTGCGGGATATTTGCGCATACGCTTATTGGACCCACAGTAAACTAATGAATGTATGCACTTCAATTCTGCAAAAGTACGCATGTAATGGACTGGAACCCTACTGCCTTGGCCCTGGACTCTGGATGCATAAGGCATAAATCATGAGGCCATGGGGCACAAGGAGGCGCTGGTACGGCTTGGCGCTTGATGCTTGTACTTTACTGCATGTCTACTAGCATTAAGCATATCCGCCGACCTCGACTATGCCACGATCACTCATATGACTGATTGATCGATTGGTGGCTGCGAGGGAGCATTTACGCGGGCAGGACGCGATGCGGTATGGTATGGCCGTATGCATAACGGGACTCTCCACTAGCCAAATCCACCACGCCGCTCTGGTGGCCAGGATAGACAGTAGTGGATCTAGCTACCGAAAACACCAACTAGGATTTGAGCTCTTCGGCAGCTCATCCCCTCTGTCATCGTATCACATGTCTCACCATTTCAGTTTGGCTTGAGCTGGCTCAAGGTTCGGCTGAAACTGGAAGCACCTTGAGGCTCGAGGGGAACCCCGATGGCGTCGAGTGGACTAAGCTGCTGGAGGTGCGCTTGTTGGAGTCGTTGACTGTTCGCGCTAGACCTGGCAAGCTCAATCTTTGGATTGTCGTGATGCGTCACAGCTTCAGGGCGATGTCACATCCAGCTGCGGCTCAATCAAATATCAAATTCCCCTGATATGGGGACCCAATCCAGGCACCGGGGGCTGAAATGCGGTGATGGCTGCCTGCCGATCGATCCCCGCGATGCTAGCGAGTGTGTGTCTGTGCGTCCGAACACCACCCCAAGGCGCCACTCAACATCTGCCTGCTGATGGGTGCTGAATGGACTGCTTGGCACAGCACCGATCCCATCCTTAACTGTAAGATCTCAGCAACTGGATTGTTGCAGCAAGCTGGAACCATGGATATGGGACAAGTGATGGCTTTGGCAGGCGGTGGCAGACACCCCACAGATCCAGGAGTGCATCCGGGCAGCCTTCTTTCCTCGCCGCTCTGTTCGGGATCGGGGTTGCGTCTGTCCAATTGAATGCATCCGGCTGTCTCCTCTTCCAGCATTTGTTCTCGGTCGAATGTACGTCCTTTGCTTCTGTACTTCTCCATAGTGCCTCAACTCTATTCCTCTGAAGGTGCCTTGCCTTGGCCCCTCTTGTTGAGGCGGGGCACAAGGGTCGGCCCTTTTCACCCGCCGTCGTCGTCATTGTCAACGAGCGTCGTACCATGCGATCGTGTCCAGCGCAAGAGACGGGCAGGCGGGAATGGGTCATCGACTTGCACAGGTGCAGACGCAGGAACGCACACACGCTGCGACTCGCCTGTATAACACGGCAGACAGCCTGCTACTGCAGGTATGGATATTAAACCGATACCAACCACAGCCAGCGCCAGTGATCACTTCTCCATCCATACGTACATAAACGCACACAGGGCGAACCAATTCGCCTGGCTGCGAACGCACATCCTGCTTTGCTGCCGCTCGGAAGCACCCAAGGTCCTCATGCTGTAACACGCAGCACGCAGCACCAAGCAACTGGTAACTGGTAACTGGCAAGAACATGCCTGGCGTGTTCCACCATCTCGCGTTGGGGCCTACTGTTGCACCTCCCCTGACCCACCACGCCAGCAACAACTCCCGAGGCTGCATCGAACCAGGCAGATGTAGTTGTATCCTCTCTCTGTGCTCGCCACCCCCCACTACCTTACCCCCTAGCGATAGGGCCTACCACATCCAGAGCCATCGCGCGATGTATATCAAGCGGCAGCACTACCAGTGCAAGTGCAAGCACGAGTTCCAAATCCAAAGCGTCAGCTTCCACCACCAGCGGCAGCAAAAGCAACATGGCGACCATTGCGTCGCCACCCACTGCAAACGGTAAAAAGGGCATGATGAAGTACCTTGAGCATGAGGATTAGGAGGACGCTGTCAACATGGATGGCGAGGAGGACGAAGAGGAGTGGACTCCTTCGCCTCCCAAACCGAGAACAGGTAAAGTACGCGTGTTTAAACGGATGGTGCAGAATCGTGAGTGCCTGCTGCCAGCGGATCGCATGCATATATGCTCGTGCTGATTTCTCTCTCACATACACGCAGGGAAAGCCCAGCGCGAGTTTCACAAATGGCGCGAGACGCGTACGCGAGATCTCGAGGCTCGATGCCGCCGCTTCAACCAGATGGGTCTCGAGGCGAACGTAGAGCTTCAGCGCGTGGCTTGGCGTCCCAAGGAGGACAACGACGTCGTGTTCGATCTGTTAGTGCGCCTCTGCTTTGGTAACATGGTCAGCAATGTTCCCGAAGGACCTGGATCGCCAGGTGGATATACCATGGCTGGCGTTGATCCGAATGTGCGCAACAAACCCGCCGACCGGCTTGCGATACGTGCTCGTCGGAGAGAAGCAGATGGTCGGTAATGTTGGCGAGAGGACGAGCCAGCTACTTCAGAAGCATTAACAGGCAGCGATAGCGGCTCAGCGCAAGCAACCAGAAGTGGACGAGGAGGCTCGCAGGCGGTCCGTGTCGCTCTCAGTCGTCCCGATATCCGCGGCAACAGCAACGGGCGATTGCAATGCCGTGCCTTCCTCAGCTCCAGCAACGCAGCCGATATTCACGCTTCCTCCCACAGTACTAAAGCAAATATCAATCCAAATATCCTGCATCAGCCTTCGACGTCGTTGCGACGACAGCCGAACGTCCACATCTCCGTCAGCAGTGTTGCTCCTCCTTCACAGGACAACCGTAACTAGTACCAGATAGCGTCGTCTTCGTCAATAGGGGTAGTGGCGGGGTCGAACGAATGTGCGCCAAATGTGTACATGATCTCGAACGTCACTGCACGACTGAGGCAGGCTACAGGTGTCATCGTTTCCGAGTAGCGACACAGCTCGACTGACGACAGGAAGGACAACTCGTCCATGGACAGCAGCCAGATCCTGCATTTCAAGGTTGGCAAGATGCAGCGGCAGAAGAATGGCACGTCGGGCGCAGACATCCGCAACTGCAGCCCCTACCAACGAGGAGATGACGATGCGCATCATAAACGCCGTCCACGCGAGATTTGGGCAGCACCAGAGCGGCGCAGGCACCGGCGGCTCTGCCATGCTGCACAGCGACGACATGTACTTGTCCTCCAAGCTGGTCCCCAGACTGCCCCAACGTCATCGTTCATGTCGGCGTCTCCCAGCGGCGCCAGAGACCCGGGCATCCTGCCGGGCATAGCGCCATGCCCTGGCGGAGCCGACGCGCATGTGCTTTGAACGCAGCATACTTTACAATACCACCAGCAGCAGACACCCATGTGCTGCACATCGTCTGCGCCTGGGCAGCAGCGCCAGCAGCAACAGAGGTGACAGCAGTTTAAAGCCGAGCAACGCAGCCCAAGTTTGCCGCAGACAGAGCACGCGCAGATGTTTCTCATGCTGCTCGAACGAAAGCCTATCGCGAACTGGAACCGTCGTAATTTTGAGGAGCTTAGGTTTAAGCCGCCGATCATCACGCGCTGGCAGCAATGTGATCGACAGTAGGTCGATGGCACAGTCGCAAGCGACGATGAACCAGTCTCAGTCGACGCTGACCATGTTGCTACGCGTGGGTCTCAAGCGCAGGGCGTCTTCCGATAACTCGGTCATCGCGCCTGCGCCAGACCAGCGCGCACAAAACATAAGGGCGAGCAACAGCACCGGCCATCTTGTAGAGTCTAACCGCATACCCAGCAACGGCGGAAACATGACTGCAGGCGGTATCTACTCGCGCCCCTCGCAGCACCCAGAGCTGCTCTTGACCATCAAGTTCGAGCTGGATGAGCTCATCGACGCCGTGGGTGCCAACCGTCAGTCTCCGCCTGCCAGTCATCAGGCGCGCAACGGCAACGACAACCCAGAGGCGCCGCATTTCGGCTTGCCTGTGCAAAGGCATCTTGCCATCTTACTTTTTTCGAGCGGGGCATCGATATCCTCCCATCCGAGCAGACTCGCATCTGTCCCCCTGGGTCATGCGTCGTTCTCGGAGTCTAGAGACTCCGAGGACAGGTCTGCATATGGCAGCAGCGCTGCCATTGATCGCCAAGGTGCAGCTGGGGGATGGTGCGCATTGGGCAAGCTGGACCTCGACAAGGGCGCCGTCGAGCGCGTCGTTGGCCTGCTCGATCGCAGGTACGCTAACGAGGCGGTCGCTGCCTCCACCGCTGCTGCTGCTGGCGCACATCAGCATGTGCACTCGCACCCCAGCGGCAGTCGCCGACGCAGCAGATGCAGCGCCTCCCTTCTGCGCCGCAAACCCCATCGGCGGCGGCTATGAACCGCAAAGTCTCGGGCCAGACCAAAGTGGTGGAGCTTGTGCTTCGTTCCGATCATCTTCAATGTGCGTCTTGATAATAGATTTCGCTTTCGCTTTCTATTCCCATCGCATCGCATTGTTTCGAATAATCGCATTGGTTTCTCGTTCTACACTGCTATCCTCGTTTGTGTACAAGGTTATGTGTATGTGTTATTTTTTGTACCAGACCAATCAGCCACCTCAATCTCCCATGTAGTTGTGCCACTCCACCAGGTCTGTAACTCGGCACCACGACGCGAGATTTGACCACCTAATGCCGGCATGCGACTATTACTATATGTTTCTGATACGCCTTTCAACTCCAAGTTCACCGCTCTGAAGCTTTTCGCTAGGGCACGGACCTTTCATTTCTGTGTTAACACCACAGTGCTCATTCGCACAGGCTGTACAGACAGCGAGGCTGGTCGCAATCGAACTTCGGTGACGATGTTACTCCCAAGAGCCTCATCGGGCCTAATGCGAGCGATGCATGGAGCATCTGGATCTGGCGCACGCCATCGCGCTTCCTACGCCTACAGCACGAGCAGCTTCGAGGCCAGCGGCGTGCTCAAGCTGAGGTTGTACACGGGACCCCAGTGCTCACTATGCGATGACGTGAAGGAGGTCATTGACTCTGCGCGCAAGGAAGCACCTGCATTCACATTGGAGCTCTTCAACATCCGGGACGACTCTTTGTCAGACGTGCACAAGTGGCGGCGGCTCTACCAATATGACATTCCGGTTCTGCATTTGAATGGCGAGGGTGAGCATGAGGTACTGCAACGCTCGCGTGCAACTTGAACTCATTATCCGCCTGTTCAATGATTGCACCTGGATCCAAGCAGAGATAGCGCGTCACAGTCTGGACAAGGGCAAATTCATTGCTGCACTGCAGGCGCATCAGAAGGTCGCAAAAAGTGGCGGCCAAGATTGACCTGCCCACGTGCAATGCAAGACACTGGAATTCTACACTACACTGAGCCGCTCGGTTCGACATTCATCACCTTTCTGGCGATCCAGAATTCTGGATGGTACTCGTACGTGAGCATACCTGCTGCGTTGCCCGTGTACATCTGCGGCGGCAAGCTGCGCCTTTCGACGACCTCGAACCCCATCTTGGGCAGGAGGCCCAGCACCTCCTCGAGCGTCAGTTCGATGCTGAGGTCGCCGCCGTTTTCGTAGTGCCACAGCAGAGGCCCGACGTTGACCCACAGGCCGCCAAGCGGTAGGATATGGTTGAGCGTCTCAAGGTATCGCATGATGTTGCGCGCCGTGTCGATAAAGTAGCATGTCGCGACGGCGTCCCAGGCGCCGCGCTCTTCGCTCTTTGAATACACCTCTACGAACTGTACGGATGCAAGCGGACGGCCGTCATGCACACGGTCAGCAGCCTTGACGTCAAGAGTGAAGCGAATCGCGCAGAGAGAGTCCTCACCTCACCAGCCACCATGCTAAAGTCGACCTGGGACGGCAGCGTGTTGGGCAGGACATCGGGGATGTAGATAGGCGCAAGCATGTCGCGCGCCGTGCGCCAGTTGGACGCCGAATGGATGTATGGGTAGAGGGTGTGCTCGTTGACGCGGCTGGTGTTGTTCAGGATGAAATGCGATGCGACGAGCATGAAGAAGCTGAATTCGTTGCCCTGGCATGAGAAGCCGCGCTTTGCGATCTCGAATGCCAGGCGACCGAGACCAGCGCCGGGGACGAGGACGCGCAAATCGGCGTGCACCTGCCGCTGCTGTGTGTCCTCCAGTGGACGCCCTGCCTGCGGAAGCCGGGCGTAAAGCTGCGGAAGGTACCGCTCGAGCGCATCGAGGATCGGCTGGTACGCCGCGTCGCGCTCAGCGCGCCCGCATTCGCTCCAATCACGGACAAATTGCTTGAGCGTACTGCGGACCTTATCCAGGTCCTGTGCCGGTATGCGCTTGCGCTTGCGTCGCGTGCCCCCCGACACCGACTTCGGAGGCGGGCCGTTTGCGTGCGTATTCGGATGTGTGCGCAAGTGCAGATGTGCGCCCGAGCTCGTTGGCGACCCCGGCAGCCTAGAGTCCCCTGCGACAGCATTCGTATCGGGTGGCGTGATGTCGTGCCCAGCCTGTGGCCGCGCACTGCCTTCGTCTGCATCTACCCCGCTGCTCTCTACTTCCGCTTGCATTTGCATTTGCACTTCCCTTTCCTCTTCTTCCACACCCCCATTCTTGCCATCATGATCTGTCTCCGGCGATGACGCGTCTCCATCTTCATCGCCCATGAAGTCACGTGCATCCTGCACGATGAGATGCAGCACATCTGCGTTCCGGCGTATCCGGTCGTCGATCTCTTCCAGCCGCGCTTTCACGCCACGCAAGCCTTGGAATGCCTCTGGCCTGCCCGGCACCCCGTCAGCGCGGTTGCCGGCTTCTTCCTCGCCTCCACCACCGTCAAGTTGCGGGAGGGGAAGGGGCGACCCAAGATGTGTGAGCAGCTGCTGATGCGCTCTCGGCAGGCTGTAGTACGACTTTCGTCGGGCATTGTTCTGCGAGAGCGAGAAAGGCAGGTAGCCATCGAACGCTCTAAGGATGCTCTTGAAATACACCTGCTCCTTGGCCTGCTCGCCCCGGTCCAGGTGGAAATCTTCGACCTTCTGCATGATGCGCTCCAATGTCAACGAGGCTGTTACGCCCTCTTCTCTCCCTGCTGCTGCTGCTACCCTCAATGATGACGAGAAGTTGAAGAGGCCGGAAAGCGTGGTCAGCGTCCCGGAGTCTCTCCTGCCACCGCTCCTGCTTTCAACGTCGCTTCTACACCTGCCTCTGAATGCTGGCCTCCAAGCAGCAAGCAGCGGCGGGATACCGATCTGCGATAGAGTGCGTTGGACGGAGACGTCGATCCGGCTGCAGATGCCGACCTTGCGCCAGAGCTGCACGGCGGCAACAGGTGTGGAGATCCCGGCGCGGAGCCAAAAAGTTAAGGACGCCACGGTCTGCGCACTTCCATACGGATGCAACTTGTGCTGCAGGCGTGCGAGACAAAGGGTGTCGGTACCTGCTGCTGCTGCTGCGTAAACACAGCGGCAGCGACAGAGGTCGTAAGTGGAAATTCGAACCGTGCGGATGGACGCGGGCCGGGCGATTCTACCCGCTCTTGCGCAGGAGACTCCCTCACGATGGAGCTCGGGTTCTGCTTCGCTGCTGGTGCTGGTGCGAGCGCGGCGACCGAAGACAGTGTCCTGCCTGTGCCGACGCTCGGGGACGGAGACCCCGAGTTTGCAATGGCTGATGCCGCCACCGCCTTTTGGGCCCTATGGGCAAAAAAGTCTGCCTTTCCTTAGCAGCCGCACCGTTCGGCCGGCGGGTCGTGAGTGTTCCCTGGCTCTTGCACTTGCACCAAGCTGATTTGGTGGGACCTTGTTGAGGTCTTGCGATATGGAGGCGATTGGAGGAAGGCGAGGGAAGGCGAGGGAGGCAGTGCGCGCGTCAGCTCTGGCACGGCAAGAAGCGATTCTGATGTCGTATACAGAGACCCGTTGAAGGAGAAGAGTTGGGACCTTGGTAAAGAACAGATGTCTTTTGCACACGTAACAAAGAATGTGTTGTGGCAAACAACCGTGCAAGACAGGCGACCGAAGAAGAGCTGTCTCGTATTCGAGGAGATAAGGACATCGATGCTGTTACTGGTGTGCGCAGCTGGATCTCCGCGTCGCACAGCACCGCATAGCGAAGACGGGTTCCGACTGCGACTATCACCCATCCGTCGTCCTGGCGCCCACCCGTTCTTCTTGCGTTCATTGAGTGCGTTCCCCGGTGCTCATCGCTCACCTTTGTCTCTTCTTCGTCCGAGCAACGTGTTCGACGTCGTCCATTCACCCGGCCCCACACCCGCCTTCTATGCTTCTACTGATGGATACCCAGCCAGCTGGCGTCTTGACCTTCCTTTCTCGTCCCTGACCAAACCGCATCTAGCTCCTACCTATCACCCGCACCGTGCATCTATCCGTGCCGGTCTGTCGTCTCTCCCTTATCGACGAGAGCGATCTTCTCATCGCTCCTCGCGAGACTGGTGATGGCGATGCGAGCCTGTCTCCTGTCTCGGCCGAGAAACTTGCCTCCGCTTTCCAAGTGGAACTGCGCACGAGCCAGCAGGCAGCGCCCAGTGACGTTTGGATCCTTGCGACAAGGTGGGCAGAGCTGCAGTGCCACACGACAGCCTGCCTGTGCATGCTCGCGTATATACAGAAATACATACATTGCGTTATCCCCGCACGCAAGAGTAAGGGAGGAGCACGAAGACTCGCTGGGTCGCCAAAGGCAGTGTAGATGCAGACGTTCTTCTTCGCCTCACTCGCCAAACATCTCTCCATTGCTCCTACCATCAATCTTCACGTCAACGTCGTTCCTACCATTTGGATACTATACCAAAATTCTACAAGCACAAGCGCAAACACACGCACTCTCACATCGAGCAGTTTATCACTCACATCGCCATCATGTGTGAGTCATGCCCCGAGGGGGGGGGCGTCTGCAACTGGCGCGATGCTGACCTGACCATGTTTAACCCGCCTCCCTTGCCAGCTGAGCACGTTCTCCCCAAGCTTGACTACGGCTACGCCGACCTCGAGCCAGCAATCTCTGGTGAGTGAACCTGCTGCAGATAGGTAAAGCTTAGAAATTCGCTGATAGTCTTCCTGAGTGCCCTCGACACCTACACTGCTGCCGCTTGTGCTGCGCAGGCGAGATCATGGAGAGTGAGTCGACGACCCGCCAGTTCCACCGCTGCCGCCGCCTGACAGTTTCCCTGCACTTGCTAACCCTGAACCATTTTTGCAGTCCATCACAGCAAGCACCACAACACCTACGTCACCAACCTGAACGCCGCCGAGAAGGCGTACGCCGCAGCCGTCCAGGCGCGGGACGTGCGCAAGCAGATCGAGATCCAGTCCGCGATCAAGTTCAACGGTGGCGGCCACATCAACCACACGCTCTTCTGGAAGAACCTCGCCCCTAGCAAGGCCGGCGGTGGCCAGCTCAAGGACGGCGCGCTGAAGAGTGCGATTGAGAAGGACTTTGGCAGCGTCGAAAAGTTCAAGGAGCACTTCAACAAGACCACCGCCGCCGTCCAGGGTTCCGGCTGGGGCTGGCTTGGTTACAGCGCCCTGAGTCAGAAACTCGAGGTGGTTACCACCAAGGACCAGGACCCACTCATCTCGCACGCTCCCATCCTCGGCGTTGACGTGTGGGAGCACGCGTACTACCTCCAGTACAGGAACCTTAGGCCCAAGTACCTCGAGGCCATCTGGAGCGTCATCAACTGGCAGGAGGCCGAGGCACGCTTCGAGAAGGCCAGGGGTGCCTCTGCTCAGCTCTGAAGCGCGCTGCGCCTATGACATTGCCACGCATTCTCGTGATCTTCAGGTGAAATGATGGAAGAGGTGGGAGGTGAAAAGTCTGAAAAAGTGAATCGATAATGTTTTTGTCAACTTCAGGCTGCTGCAATGCATGCGAATTTCGAAGTTTGCACAGGAATGCGAGTCTTTCAAGTCGTTGGCAATCGGCAGCGTACTTTTATGCTACAATTTCTTTAGTCTTCGATACTAGCTTCGATCTTCTTCTTATTCAGCTCTAAGACTTGATCAATCTCAGCCGAAAACTTCTTCGTCGTGTCTTCCATCTGCGAGGGAAGTAGCACGCGGCAGCATCCGCAACAGTCACCAGAACCGAGTCAGCCAAAGCGCACTCCCGCGCGTGGGGATGCACTCCCCGCTCTCACCTTCTTCATCAGCGCCTTGCCCTCGCTGCTGCCGACGATCTTGCCATCAATGTCCGCCTTGATCTGCTTCTGCGCGGCGTGTCTCGCGGAGCGGATCGAAACCCGCGCGCTCTCGCAGATGCGCGAAATGTCCTTGAGGAGCTCCTTGCGCGTCTCCACTGTCGGCTTGGGCACCGGTACCCGCAACGTCCCCTCCTCGTCGCCAGAGACGACCTGCGGCGCAAGATTCAACTGCGAAGCGTAGATCGCCTTCTCCACATCCTTGACGTACTGCAAGCGCACGAGAAGCACCGCAGCCACAGCCAGGATCGGGTCCGGGGTGAGTCAGTCCAGGGAACAGATGGAAACGAACGCGCATGCCATGCCACATCACCCAGCACGCACAGACGAGTCAAAGCAGTGAATGAACAGCACGCCGTTCCTAGCACCGACAGTCGCGATTTCTCGCAACGGCTGAGAAGAACTAGTGTCCTTTCCGATCGTCACTCGCAAATCATCGAGAAGGCCTGTGGTTGTGTGTGTGTGTGTGTGTGTGAGAGAGAG